GAATTACAATATTGTACAAATGTTACGATTCCATATAAAAAGGCAACTGGTTTACAAGGTTTCCCGACCTTGGGAGGGGCATAATTGCACAAATGTGTCGTATGAGAAGTAAAAATTGCAGCGTTCCGGTTCATTTATTTAGATTAAAAGTGATCAATACAAATCTCTGTTCATGTGGCAGTTTAGGCACCTTACAACATGTGTTGTTGGAATGTACTAGATATCAAAAGGAGTCCCAGTTACTTAGAAGTGAATTTAAGGTGATCCAACATTTATCGATGTGTTGTTCAAAAACTTAAACTCACACTGCTTGCAGTGCAAAGGTTTTTAGCGTCAACAAGGTCTCAAGTATAGTTCGTTAATGTACATAAGATTTAATCTGCTTGCTTGGATTGCATATGCTTAGTGCGGTTTGGTGCAGTAGTACAAGACTAGGACAATAGCGCTTAAGAACTTTTGACTTTAATTTGTTTTTTTTTCTCCTTTAACTATAGTTGCAGGTTCAGGAGCTATGAGCTTAAGCCCAGATGTACCTTAGGTACGGCTCTTGAACATTCAGTATAAATACACAGATCCTGGCCAGATAGTCCTGGTAGCTAATGCCAAGCAAATGAATGGAAGAAGATATCTGATATCTATCTCATGGTTTACTGTCATTAATATATCATTATTTTTACATGGGCATGTAGGAGAAATGTAATTAGGGAACTCGCCCAGTAGGGATAAAGCCATAAAGAATGATAATATATACTTTCATTTTGTTCGCATAGTAGATAAATCATTATATTCTTGATATAAATACTTTTTTAATTTTAGAATTATTTTACTAATAGAAGAGTTTGGTAAACAATTCATAAAATCCATTCATTGTTATAATTTATGCTGTATAAATGGCTGGCGCTAGCATTTTGGTGTTATTTAAATTATCTGTATTTGTAAATATATTATTAACATAATTAAGCCTTCCAATTTGTCAATCAACAATTATATTCTGTTTACAACTGGCTTTTCACCGTTCTTGTGGATTTTGGCTATTTTACTATCAGAATTATTCTATTTGATGCTTTTTTTATTTATTTTTATATGTCATTTACGATTGCATTTCATTTAATGTTAATAAGCTTACTGTATTAATCAAAACGTTTAAATCCAAAACATAAATTGAAATAAGCATGTTTTAAACCTCTCCGCTGAACCAATAATGGCGATCATTTGGCTCCTTAGCATCATTTTACGTACAGATAAAAAGAATGCACATGATCTTTTGTGTAGCCTTAAATATGGCAACTATTCAATTCTACGCTACTTCTGACTGTCAGATATACACCTGCAAGGTTTAGGTATTACACAGGGTCTTATATTAACTGAAAATAAGGCAAACATGCACGCGCTAAACTATTTTTGCATTGGCAGCTACAACAGTGCATGGTCGCCGTTCTATAGATGTCAAAACTAATTAAACAACTTACATTTCATTAAAATAATGGCGAATGGATTTAGTGTCCGCAGTCATTTAAAACACAAACAACAACAATTAAAATAAAAAATATGTCAAATTATATTTATAAAATGTTAAAAGTTGAGGGATATGTTTAAACTAAAACGTTTATGAAAATGTATTACACATTAAAAAAAAAACAAATTCGGTGTGCATTTCCATCTTTGATTTTTTTTTTTATTTTTCGGAAGACATTTGTTATTATAACCAATCTTACACACACAATTATCTTATTTTACACAGGTTGTCTTTACCGAGAGTACAAACTGAATATAGCCGCAAATGTCAAATATGAAATAAAATATTTCGTTTTGGCAGTATTGGTATGTTTTTATAATGCATATGTTGTATGCTTCAAATATAAAGAGAGAAAGCTTTTAAAAAGTACATTTTGATTATACTATTTTATGAATTCTGTAATTTTTAATTTATATGAAACAATAATGAGTAAATATTTTTCTCCTTCGAGATTAATTGCAATCTGGCAACTGCTGATTTGACGATTGCCAAATATATCCCATAATCTATCAAAGGGCAATTGCCAAAGAGAAGTTTCTAATAATAAACTGCAATTAATCTCCAAAGAAACAAATATTTACTCATTATTGTTTTATATAAAACAAAAATTGCAGAATTCATAACATAATATAATCAAAATGTACTTTTCTAAAGCTTTATCTCTTTATATTTGAAGCATACAGCATATACATTATAACAACATGCCAACACTGCTGAACCGGAATTTTTTGTTCCATGTTTGACATTTGCGGCTATAATCAGCTTGTAACTTCGGTATTTGCCAGATTATATTTTTGACCTCACTTTATGATCAGTTAGTAGGTAGAACGTCAGAACAGTATTACTGTTCGTTCGCAATAATACGTTCCATCATTAGTGACGTTAAGTTTCCATATTTGAATAACGTCTTGATTTTATAAAACCCAAATTCATAGCCCATTGAAATCTCCTTTGTTAAGTTATTGGTATGCTTCAGAAGATTATTATCATAATTATCAAGCCAAAAGCCAAATTTAACCGTAGTTAGGACTTCGGAAAAGCCAAGTATTTGAGTTTTTCTTGTTTTTAATTATTAAAAATTCAATGGCAAAAAGCAAAATAAAGTAAAATCGTTACTAGTTTATAACTTTCGTAAAAATTAACTTACATTTTGCTCTCAAAGGAGTCTTGTAGTGCTTAACAAACTCTCAAAATGTTTATCCAACTCCATCCATCAATTAGTTTAAAAGTTACTCAAACTGTTTATCCCAAAGGTAATTTCTTTGTAATAACTTAAGACATAAAATAATAAGTTTTTTAAGGCAACAGCGTGTTGCTAAGTAACAATACGCCAACTTACTACTGACATTTAATGATGAATGGACTCTAAAAAACCAAAACCTAAATGCTATTTTCATGTAAGTACATTAAACATTCATTTTTGGTATTATTGGGAAAGCTTGAGTTTAAGGACTTCCAAAACACAACTAAGTGGTATAGGAATAAATTTTTAAGAAGAAAGAAATAATACATTTAAAAAAAAGTAAAGATCGTTTTGAAGGTTGGGTTAGGTTCGAATAAACGAACATTTTATCCGTCTAAGCTAAAGCTAAACTAATTTGGTTTATAAAGAATCACCAACCTCAAAAAATGAAAGTTTGACAGAAAAAGTAACGTCTCGTTGTCTAGTGGAGACGAATTAAAGTAGTTAAAATAAAATGAAATCTTAGCTTATTACATATTTCCATAACACTTAATATTTATATGAAATATATGAGATTTTGGTGCCAACCAAGCAAGACTTTCCTGTTATACATCGTATTAGTTGTAGCGTCAATAGAGAAAGGATATAAACAAAACACGAGTATATAATAAATGCTAAAAAATAAATCAAAAATCTTTGCACTTTATATTCTGTTGAACAAGTGTTCAAATTTGTATTGAACTTGATTTACAAAATGGAACTAGCGTTGTTCAAAAGCTTGGTTATAGCGAAAATATATTCCAAATATTAAAACTAATTATATACAATTGCTGATTACTAAATCTAACTATCGTACATATACACAAAACTTAATTTTATTATTGTACTTCTAACAATTGTTATACTATTGGTGGCCTTTTTGTAAATTTCGGCCTAATTATATATTTGAATTTAAAATAATTCACATAATTTTTCCTGAAGGATTTAAGTCGTTTAAAAACTGTTAAAGGGGCAAATATATTAACAATAATACTTAAATATGAAGGGCTACATTTTTATTTAACTTTCTACATTTTTGTAACTTAAATATAACAACCATTTGCACTATATGTGATAAAAATCCCATAAGACAAAACTGCAACAATCGCTCTATTGGCATACTAAAAAAATTGAATTAAAAAAATCGAACGATAATATGAAATTGAATTATAAATAGGAAAAGTACATCGTGCAATTTTCTGTATTCAAGTATTTGAACAATTCACTCTTATCTGAATGCACATCGAACACTTATACATCAAACAATTTATAATATAACCCTAACGCTGTTTTTTCTTTGAAAATACTGTTATTTCGTCTCCAGTATTAATATATTAATAATAATATACTTGAGTCAGTACACGTCAAGAAAGAAGTTGCTATTTTCTAGACCTTTCTACAAGTCAAACATACTTAAATGCACATCAATCGACCAGGATACATAATAAAACGCTCGTTTCATAAAGATCGTTGAAGATTCCTTTATTTCTTCAAGTATAAATGCCGCTGACATTTTCCATATTGTCCGTAGTGTATGATTCTTAAAATAGTACTTGATTGTCTCTGTGTTTGCACAAACTTCTTCTGTGTCCATGTAGACTGATTAAAATCAGTCTTCTGAAGCAGAATTCTTTTCGGGTAATTTGTGCAATGGATAGGTCAATGTTGAATACATCCCTCAGACACAGTTTCAAATAAATTACTTAGAGGAGAAAAACTAGTGTTACGGACGCAGTTAAAAGAATTACAACGCTGAAATGAAACTGGGCAGAACATTTTGCCAGAGTCAGAGATGGAAGATAGACCAAGGCAATTTTAGAATGGAGACCTAGACACGATGCTTATCGTAATCGAGGATGTCCTCTAACAAAGTAGACAGACGACATTAAACGCATCTAACACAACTGGATTCGGGGTGCTTAAGAACAAATGGAATGGAATTATTTACGGCAGGGCCTATTTACAGAAGTGGACGCAAAACGGCTAATGGTGATGATGAATTTGTGCGGCTCTGTTTCCTTTAATAACGCAGAATCCAGCAGGGAAAGAACAATACAATGAAGCAACTATTTATGTTCTTACGTTTTATAATTTTAGAAATTATTATATTTTTACAAAATCCGGTTTAGTCCCTTCTTTGGACTTTTTCTGGACCTTCTACAATGGTGTATTTAAAGTAAGAGTATGCGAGTATCTAAATACGTTGATTTACATCTAAAATTTTTAAAATTCTTCTTTTTTGTTATTCTTCTTCTTTTTCTTGAATTTGTTAACGTCTTCTTTTAAGTTTATCTACCAGCAACTCTAAAAAGGCCTCTATATAATTAATTTTATTTCCATCAGAACCTTCAATAAATTAAACAAATTTAACAAAAAAAAAATAAATAAAAAATTTATTTTAATGTATTAATGTTTGTATTTTGAGAAAGATTTCCGAAATGAAATTGAAACGTCAAGCAGCACTTTCATTGCACATTTTTAATATTCTCGCTATCAACAGCTTCGTGGCTTTTATTGTTATTTAAATCAATACTAACATCCTTATTTTAATGTTGATTTTATTTTAGCTGAGAGTATAATATAACCTGATAAATCTTCGGGGTAAAGTTGGAGTTTTTTAAGTCTTGCCGGATTGAATTGGTGAAGGATCCACATTTTCCGTTGTCGACGTCATTATCTTAGGTAAATGTTGATCATAAAAAGTAAAATCTTAAACAGGCTACAAGGTGAAATGATCTTCTCTAAAACTTTCGTAAATGTTAATGTTTTTTTTCTATTGTCCATTACTCATCTAGAGATATCCAACTCCAAGTTGGACACCTTAAAACCGTACAAAAACTTCATAATACTTGTATCGAGCATTTGACCTAACCCAAAGTTACTAAATAGTAAGAAACAGTATAAGAAATAGTTCTGATGAAGAATAGAAATTTCTGTCCTCCGAGATATAAGTATTCCTCCTAAGTTTGTTCGGCAATTGTTTCGTTAAATCATTACTTTATTAAGAATATTTATGAACCAACAAACAGGAACATCTTTAACGGGTATAGCAGTTATTCTTTTAGAGGGTTTTGGTAATGCAATGAGCTTGTGAAACAATTGCGTGAATCTTTAATAGAAGACGTTCAACTAACTTTGTTTACTTTCTTGTTGACTATCGACACTATTTTATACTGTGCATATTTAATGTCTTTATGTTGTTCTTCTTGTGTTTTTTTTTTGTTATCGGAAGTAGCTGGAATGCCTAAATCATTTGAAGGTTTCTGCCCTTGTAAAACTCCTCGCCTGAAAGTATCCTATTATGTTCTTAAATTAAGTAACTACTAAATTGTTCTTATTTAGTTTTGGTTTTTCGTTTTCTAATTCACATATTGCTTTTATTACTGCTGTTCTTCTTCATATTTTCTACCCACTTCTTTCTATGGTGCACATTAGTCTTCTTCTGAGATGGCTGTATCCTTCAGTGTTTAATCAGGTTCAGAACTATGTTCTCTACTGCTTGGAGATCTTCGTGCTGGTTATTTCAGTGGTTTCTCGGCGTTCTAAACCGGCCTTATATATGTTATTTGATCTTGTTCATTTCCTTCTCTTCTGATTTTTTATTTTTATCTGAATCAGTTTTAACATGTTCACTAAATATTTCATCTTGTACTGATGTTGAAGGTTTAGAATTCTTTAAATCACTATCAACGCATGTTTAAGGTGACCGTTCAATGGGTTATTAAGAAAGGAAGTGTAGTTTTCTGTATTATTGAACAAGAAGTAAAGACCCTATTCATTATATGTAAACTAGTTCTTAATCAATTACTAATTAAGAGTGAGATTACTGATGATATGCTATTTGTATTCGGTAATCTATAGTATGTTAATTAAATCGGTAAAGAATTGAATTGAAAATCTACTATTCGAGATCGTCGAATTGGTCGATTTATAAGAATGATTAAATACAGCTGAATAAATGAAATGCAATTTTCTGTATTCTTCAATAAATTGCGCTTATTTGAATGATCTCAAGCAACCAAATGACAAGGACACAAAATCGAAACGCTAGTTTCTTCGAAGCTATTATTATTCAAGCGAATCTGCTCTTAATCAAATGTTAGTTAAAAATAACACAATTTAAGTGTTATTTCCAAGGCCATGAAATCTAATCATCAAAATGAACGATTCAGCTCATTTTAAGAAAGGATGTATAATTTCTTGAGACAATAAATTCAAACAAATAACGTGGATTTTACTATTGCTCAACGTCAGTTACAATTTTGTCCGGGAATAAATAATTAGTATGGTACTTTTTTACAGTTTCCTGACAGCTATGATTCTACACCTCCTCCTAAATCTTGCAGGAGTATTTAAATTTGTAAAAGGCACATTTTTAACATTTTCGGCTTTGTTATTTTTATTACTACTAACATCCTTATTTTGATGTTCTTGTAGCTCAGGAGATAATACATCTGTATCAGTCTTCGTGACTGAAGTTGGAGTTTTTTCAGTCTGACCCGATTTAAGTGCTGAAAGTTCAACACTTTTCGGTGTCGACGTCGTCACCTGTGGTACATGTTGATCGGGTGAGGTAAAATCTGCAATATTCCTACAAGGTGAATTGATTTTCTCTAAAACGTTCGTGAATGTTAGCGGTTCTTTTTTCTGTGACTCATTGCTCACTCTAGACACATCGCAGTCTAAGTTAGATACGCTAAAACCGTCCAAAAACTTCATAATACTTTTATCGAGCGTTTTACCTTCCCCAAGGTTACTAAAACTGAGTTCTTCAAGGTGAAGAATCGGAATATCGGTATCCTCCGGCAAGTGAGTATTCATCACAACTTTTTTCGGCAATTGTTTCGGTAAGTTATCACTTTTATTAAGAATATTTGTGAACGTACAAACAGGAACGTCCTTAACGGGTATAGGAGTTATTCTTTTTCGAGGTTTTGGTGATTCTGTGGAACATGTGGAAGAATTGTGTGGATTCTTAATAGTAGAAGACGATGAAATAACGTTTTCTTTGCTTTCTGGTTGACTATCCACAGTACTTTTTTGTTGTGTAGATTGAATGATGATGTTTTGTTCTGTAGGTGCTATTTTATTGTCGTAAATAGCTGAAATGTCTAAATCACTTAAATCTTTCTGCTTTTTGGTCTGTTCTGAAGTTGTGCTGCAAGTCACATCAATATTATCTTCTCTGCATTTAATAACTGATACATTGTTTTTATTTTCTAATTCACATATTGCTTTTGTTGCTGCTGTGATTTCTTCATTATATTTTGAAGCCACTTCTTTCTTAATGTTTTTCTTTGGTGTAAATGAGTCTTTTTCTGATATGGCTGTATCTTTCAGTACTTGATCAGGTTCAGAACTATGTTCTCTACTGCTTCCAGATCTCTGTGCTGGTTGTTTCACTGGTTTAACAACTTTGGCTGTTTCAAACAATTCCTGATCAGCACCAGACTTGGTTATTCTATTTTTAGAACTGGTCTCGTCGTTTTTCCTGTCATCTATAGAATTTACTGGGGCATTATAATTTTTTTTCTTTTTTGGGGGGTTGATATATATACTTTCGTCAATTTGTTTCCTTTTGTTATGAATTCCATTGTCATTTTTAGCTTGTACGTTATTTTCGTTGACTGTAACACATGAAACCGTTGTACTAGTGTCCAAATTTTTATTATTTACTTCTTGTGATGCATATCTTTCAAGTAAAAGGTTTTTTCTAGATAAAGATTTTGGTTTTACACATTCAGTGCTCAGACAAACTTCTGTTGTTAGCCCTCTTCTTTCTTCTTGCTTTGAAGCAACTTCATCACAGCTTGTGATATTATTCACATTTTCAGTAGTCGGTACATCTAAAACTCCCTGTATTGTTTTGTCGTGGCTAACAAAATTGTTAAAATTCTTTTTCTTACTCGGTGACACCATTATGTCACTCACAATAACAACCTTCTTGGAAGATTCAAAGTTTTTGTTGTCCAAAGGTGAAAATGATTCCTTCAATTCTTCTGATATACATGCTTCTAGTATTTTCGGTACTGTAACTGCATCTGTGTGACTCTCAGAATAGTTTCTGGTCGTCTTGGCATTTGCACCAACTTTTTGTGCTTTCATAGCACTGATTTTACCAGAATTCTTCTCGGCTAATTTTTTCACTTCAATTTCTTTTAATAACTCAGACTTAGAACTGTGTGAATGGATCAAATTTTTATGTTCTTCTGTGTTTTCAAAAGTTCTTATTATATTTGTAGGCAATTCTGATTTAGTATTTACTTTGAGCTTGGTTGGACTTTTTACTGACTGTGACTTATTCAGATCTTCTAAAATAGTATATTCAAAATCAGAGAGTATAGGTGGAGGTTCTGCAAAACGTTTTTCATTAATAATTGTAGATGTGTTAATTTCATCTGACATTTTTGATCTTATAGCCTTCTTTTCAATCGAACTAACATCAGTTTTACCAGTATCTGTAGATAGTTTATTCTTGACTGTTTTTAAAGACTTGGAAATAATTTTAATCCCGTCATCACTTTCATCGGGCGTTATAGATATATCCGTATCATGTCTACTATTTGATCTTGTCGATTTTCTTCTTTTATGAGGTTTTTTCTTTTTTTCTAAATGAGTGTTAGAATTTTTACTACATAATGTATATTGTACCGATGTTAAAGGTTTGGAATTATTTAGATCTCTTTCAACGTTCGGTGTTTCAGAAAAATCGTTATCACATCTGCGACTGGATTTTGATTTTCTCCTCTGAGTTATTTTTTTCGTTTGATCCGAAGAAATATAAACATTTTCACCAGATCTTTCACTTTTATTTGCTGGTAATGGTTTAGAATTTGTTAGATCACTTTTATTTTGCTCTGTAGATATATCATTGTCATGTCTACTATTTGATGTCGTTGATCTTCTCCTTTGACTTATATTTTTCGTTTTATCTGAAGCAGTGTTAGAATTTCCACTAGATTTATCAACTGTTTCTATTGTTAAAGTTTTGGAATTCTTAAAATCACTTTCATTCTGTGTTGTAGGATCATCATTCTCGTATCTGCAATTGGATTTCGTTGATTTTCTCCTCTGGCTAACCTTTTTTGTTTGATCTAATGCTGTATCAACTTTCTCATTAGACTTTTCATCTTTTCTTGTTAAAGGTTTAGAATCTTTTAAATTACTTCCATTTTGAGTTACAGACATATCGACCTCATCTCTCCTACTTGATTTCGTCAAATTTTTCCCTTGATTTACTTTCTTCTGTTTACCCGAAACAGTTTCAAGATTTTCGGTAGATTTTTCTTGTTCCAGTACCGACGGTTTAGAATCCTTTGGCTCGCCCACAAAAGTGTATTCAAAGTCAGATATTAACGAAGGAGGTTCTTCATAATATTTGTCAGTAAGAATTTTTGATTTATGTTGTTTATTTATATTAACTTCGTCGCCACCATTATTACGTTTTTTTGTATTGTATTTCTTTTTTATTTCCTCGATTTGGTCATCGTTCTCATGATAAGAATCTAATTCGTTGCTCTGTTTTTTTGTTAATAGAAAAACATCTGATTTAACATCCTCTGAATGTTCTTCTTTGGTCTTTCTAGTAGTTTTATTATCATTATCGGAACTTCGTTTTTTCTTTGTAGAAATATCGTAAGACGGCAGCCTCTTCTCTTCCTTCCCAGTTCCTCCTTCCAACCTTTCTTTAATCTCCAACTTTGCACATTTCATCATCTTCTTAGGTGTTGTGTGATCGACATTATCAGCTTCAACTAACATTCTAAAATTTCGAAAATCATCGTCCTCCTTAAAGATATCATTCGACTCATCACCAAATATATTATTTAATAGTACTTTTTGTTTTGTTGCGCATTTTTTTTCAATAGAAGGAATATTCTCTTGTACATTGTTCTCTGGGAATTCATCAACAGAACTCTGTCCAAATATATCTTCAATTTTTAATTTTACTTGTTTTCTAGACTTATCCTTTTTCTTCTTATCTAGTTTAGTTGGACTGAATATTTCTGCCGCTTTTTTCTGAAGTACTTGACTAAGTAAATCAGCTTTGGTCTTAGTAGCACAACGGGGTTCAACAACTGTTTCAATAGTTTCAGTTTGATGGTTACATTCTAGAGTAGTAGTGCCATTTTTAATCCGAATGTCACTCTGTATTCCATCTAAAATATTACCTAACTCTTTGTTAAAAAAGTCGTAGGGCCTAGTATTCTTATTATTAATTGTTATTTTCAGGTCAGTGTTAGTTTCATCCATTTTACATTCTTTTTTCTCATTTTCGTCGTTATATTCTTCAGTGCCATATATTTCCCCTTCTTCACTTGCAATAATATCAAAGTTCTCTCCCAATGCAGCACTATAACAGCTCTTGCGTTGATCTTTTACCTTGCCTCCAACATTGAGTAGTTTCTTACCTGTACGAGATTTATCTTTTATGTAGTCGTCCAAATCATCCTGAGTTTTGTACCTATCCAATGAATTTCGCTTTCTTTCTGGGAATCGTGATAGTCGATGTTGGGATCTGTCTCTTCCATATATACTCTGGGATTTGCCATCTTTGCGATAGTCAGACCTCCTAAAAACATATTATATTTTAGTATATTCTTTTCGAGTTTTAGAGTTTAGAATAAAACTCAAAAACACCAACTGAAATGAAGAAAATCCTAATGAAAATGAAAAATCACTAATGAAAAACAGCTTTCATATCAAATATCCATAAAAAAGTAACAGAAGAAAGTGCTCCAACTATAGAGGTTTAAGTATAACAAGTTTCTAGACTGAATGGCAAGATTATAAAAGAAAGAATAGAGAACTAAGTTACGGATAAGGAATAACAAAATACTTTTTGTGCGAGATGGTCTTGTACTGACAACCTGTTTTGCCTCAAATAACTTTTTTTAGAAAAAAGAGCACTTAGAGGACCAGAAACATATTAACACATGATCGTAGATCTACAGATAGGCTATGATAACATACCCCTCAGTAAATTGTAGCTTGCAATGATAGAGAATCGTGTTAATTTATTTATTTATTTTTAGTTTTATGAAAAGAGTTATTGTTTATAAAAAGTTGTGCATGTTCTAAAACCTAAAATACAATCATCAAATCTTAAATGTTTCACACGTTTGTCAAAAAATACGAATTGTTGATATAAAGGATGTTTTTTTAGAGCTTTAGAAATGTAAGTTGGTAATATTTTTTTAACTGTCGGCCATTTTGACAGCTGTCAAGTGATTTATGTTAAGTTAGGTTGGCATTTTAGCATAAATATACTTAACGCCTTGAACATCCATAGTCCATCAGAGCAATTAATTAAATTAACCGTGCAAAGTTTTTGCACCACGTTTACTCTAACTGATAATATGCATCCACAGACACGTCGTACAATGCGTACAGAAGAACTTGTTGCTGCCGTAGAGCGTAGCATACAGGAAGACGCGAATCAGTCTGTCTGCCATCGTACACACCAGTTGGATAGGTGTCATCCACTTTATGTAAGATTTTGCGGAAAGATCTTGCTTTGCGTGATTACAAAATCCAACTCATGCAAGAATTGAAAGTAAATCATTACCTACCATATCGTTGATTCGGTGAGTAGATGCAAAACGAGATTGCGGTTGATTCCGATTTTCATAAGCGAATTTTGTTTAGCAATGAAGCTCACTTTTGGTTGAATGGCTACGTCAACAAACAAAACTGCCCCATTTGGAGTTAGGATAATCCTCAAATGAATGTTGAGAAACCATTACAACCAGAAAAACTGAGTGTTTGGTGTGCTTTATGGTCTGGTGGAATCATTGGACCGTACTTTTTCAAAAACGATGCTGGCCAGAACGTTACAGTCTTTTTTTCATTCCCCAATTGAACAACGACGAGCAGGAGCTGTCATTTCAATAAGACGGCGCAACATGTTACACAGCTCGTGCCACAATGGATTTATTGAAGGAAACGTTTGGAAACCGTATAGTTTCACATTTCGGACTTTGAATTCTCCTCCAAGATTGTACGATTTAACACTGGTAGACTATTTTATGTTGAGATATGTAAAGGTGCTAATCTACACCGATAAGCATGAAACGATTGACCACTTGGAGGACAATACTCGCCGCGGTAGTGCCGATATACGGCGACAAATATTGGAAAAAGTGATCGAAAATTGGACCTCCAAATTAGACTACATCAGAGCCAGCCATGACGGTCGTATGCCATAAATCATATTTAAATTATATGCCAAAAGATTATCTTTCGAATAAAGTTAATTTCATATCAATTTATAAAAATCATCTTTGTTTTATTCCATTCAAAGTTTTATACCTCTAAAAAACCAACCTTTACATAAAACTCATACTTTTTGACAAACCGCGTATATGACTAAAAAAATTTATTATATAACGATGGTTTCCCAGGTTTTGGATCAATCAGAACTTTTTATAAAAAAAAATTTATTTTTAGTTTTATGAAAAAAAGTTATTCTTTATAAAAAGTTATGAATGATCTGAAACTTATAATACAATTATCAGATATTCAATTTTTTCAGTTATATACGCGTTTTGTCAAAAAATATGAATATTATATAAGAGTTATCAATATTGTTACGATAACCAATTGCACGAGTTCCTATCAAGCCTGTCCAGACTTCGAATGATTGAGAATAGAATAAATCGAAGCTTCTATCAAAGCTTCTAGGGTCGGCCACGTACGAAGTTCATACTAACACCCTAGATACGAGACAAATAAAAAAACGCACCAGCAGGAAAACTAGAACGGGTAGGCCTTAGGGGGGCAGCTTTGGCCCGGAACATTTCCAAAGACCCTCTCATACTAACAGCTTCTTTGAGCTGGAGCAGAAAAGTTCGTCCATTTAGTCATATTTTCTTATGTCGAAGAGAGTGTTATTAGGAATGAACGTAATGAATTTGTATGGATTTCAATTATATTTTAAGAATAAGGTAATCAAAGTTGGTAACGAGGAGATTTTTCTTCATCCACATAATGACAGCACTGTGCAAGCAGCCATTAAATTATATTGTGCCACTTGTGACAGTTGTGCCTGCGAGAAATGAAACGATCATAGTAGCGGGGCTACAGTGAATTGTGAAAGAAGGAACACCTGTTATGATGGAGCCTTGGAACCATGACGAGAAGGTTGGCCGAGGAATCTTAATTGAAAAGGACTTCTGCTAAAGAAATTCCTGTAAGACTTATCAATGTCAATGGCTACCCAGTGGCCATCAAGAAAGTAGGAAACTGTATATATGTAACGTCCATAATCCGTCAAACAACAACATCCGATAATTCCAATGACAAATTCGACCAAATGGTTGCAGTTGCTGGCCACTCTCTAAATCAGGTGGAGAAGAGGATATTAAGGGAATGTTGATAATGAATTTTAAGGACTAGGTTCTTATACTCACAATCCGTGTTAGGTTGTAGATTTTTATTAAATAAAAGATTGGGCGACCGGTTTCAGACAGAATCATCAGACCCTCAAGAAACTAAAGTCTGAAATAGACGATATAATATGTAAGCCATATGTATACAACCAAAAAACCAAAAATGTTTTCATTAAAAGTAGTACTAAGAATAGGACTTAGTCAACAGTCAGTCACATAAAAAACAACAAGCAACATAAAAAAAATATATAAAATATAAAAGATGTGTAGCAATATATATATACAGTATCAGGTGCAACAAAAGTATACTATCAAAGTCTAAAAAAGTGTGAAGACTATACAGTCATAGTTAGCAATATAACAAGTGTGTTTCAAAGAACCAGCTTCAGTCTGATGTTAACTGGTGTCTATATTGCAAAGTTGGTTATACATGTGTAATACAAAGGTACTTACATATCAGTACAAGGAATTATGTAGGTGTGTTATCAGTTGGTTGACCAATTTCAGAGTATACCAATGCGTCCAGGCTACTTAGCATAATTCATGCAATTAGCTTGTGTTGTTCTTGTTTTTAGAAAAGTTTGGAAAGATGTTACCTATGCATTCTGTTAAATGTAATTATATGTATATCTCTGTCGGCTCCAATCCTGTATAATATGTTAATGTTGTTGAACAAAAATTAATCGATTCCTACAGTGTTTGGCTTGTAATTTGGCAACAATAGCCGGCCTTCCTAACATTAGTCCTCTTTCATTGAGGCGTTTTCTAATCGTTTTCTCACTTAATTCACATTTCGAGCCTCCTGCAGACGGTTTCTTGTAGTAATCATCTCTTTGCAAGGCAACTCTTCTACGGCCAGAACCAGGTCGACGTGTGTACCAGTTTATTTTACAAATCTTACAACTTTTACAGGAAGAAAATATATGGTTATACAACCATATATTTTTTCCTTCCAAAGTCCCTTTCAATTGAACAAAACTGTCTGTAGGACACTTTCATAAGAATTTTTGTTCCTAAATCCTGCTCTAAATTCAGTAAAAATATTATTTCCTTCTTTAAATATATTAAAGAAGTGATAGTTCCCTATTTGATTTTAATTGGAAGTACCATGTTTATGGAACAAAAATCACATTTTACTGTTCTAATTACTTTTTCAATTGGATGGTATAATCAGTCTTTTTTCCAATAATATGGAAAAGTTCCACTTTCTAAGGTGATATTTGTTGAGTGTAGAAATTATTTTCCAATGGTCTTAAATACAAGATTTAATCTTTTTTCAGTGACTTTTCATCATTTAATCTTTTCTTGACTTTCATTTCATGCATTTTCTTCTGTGGGACACTCATTCATAAGTTACTAAATCTGTGTATTCTGTTACCAATATTTATACTATCAGAAACTCCTTGATGTATTTTGCTATATGTTGTATAGTTTTATACTGTTTCAAAAATAAATTAAACTGTTTACATTGTAATGAACAAGCTTATTTCAACGTTTCCCATATAACGGTTGCATCTCTCAAGACAATCATGTGTGTTCCAGATTGTTTATGATGTATCGACCGTCTGACAGATCGAGGCGTTCATACAAGCGAGAATAGAAGCGGACTATTGCAGATTATAGTACACAGTACTGTAAACTTATAAATAAATATATTTACATAAATTCGAACCGCTCGTTTTATTGGTAAAACGCTACAGTGACGTTACGGTGTGATGTAATTTATTTATTTAAAAATAAATTCAGCAGTGACTTTTAAAAAGTATTGTTCGTCGGGAAAATCCGCGTGGTTCGTTATTGATTTTCGTAAGAAAAAACATTTGTAAAGTACATGTGTGCCTGGCCAAAGATGCTGTTAGTAGAACTTTCAGTAAAACAGTTGCGTGAGCAACTAGAAGAACGAGATGGAGACTGTAGCGGGTCCAAGAAGATCCTTCAAGAACGACTGAAGGATATTCTCAATAGGAATGGAGTTCTAACGAAAATAATTTATGGGAAATTCAATAATGTCTCTCAAATGATCGAAGAAACTTGTTTCAAGTTACAAGTCTACAAAGCATAGCTAAGAAGTAGAATTCAACGAGCAAGTAAAAATTTGCAAGAGTTTGAAACAGGTTCTGTCAATTATTGTATTTTTTCTCTTTAAGTATGCTGAGTAATTCTTTTGTTTACTTATGCACCG